CCGCCAAAGTCGCTAGGTTATTTTGGAAAACTGATGAAGCTGAATAGCGAGAGATCAGAGATGTCTATAACGTACTGCATGACAACTATAATTATGTATCCTTTAGAACTTTTAATAATGAAAAGCCGATTGAGGTAGCCATCTCGAGTAAGAACTTTGCACCTTATGCTACCTTGTCTCTCACACCTATGCATTCGTTTTCGTCGTTATTGATGTGATGTGCGTCTTCTCTGCGGACACCGATTTTTTTGTAACTTTTAGGACAAAAACCATTGAATTGCGGAGTAAAATAATTCTATCCTTAAAAAAACAAATTGGTTTATACAGAGATAATAGTCACTTCTTCTAGATCTGGTTTATACTTTGGTGGTAATTCCATAGTCGAATAGAAGGCGATCACGAATTGACACGTTTAGCGTGTTCTACTGGCTTCATGACTAAATGATTAGTTCAACTAATTATTTAGTCATGAAGCTAGTAAAGACTGCACGCGCGCAAGACACGAAATCAGTCAACGACAACTCATTAAATGTGTTAACTGAGACAATTAGATTCAAAATTATTGGTAAGATTTTTGACGAGCATTAGCCAGTAACTGCACTTGGTTTCTTATTGAGGGAAATGCAATTGTCAAGACTTAGAAGATTTACTTGCACTGCTTCCGCTTTTTTTCAAACATTTTATTCTGATTACCACGGGTCACTTCAAGTTTTGAATTTAATGATCATAGAATGGAGTTTTTGAAGTAAAAGCAAACCAAAATTGTAAAGTGCTCTCCCCATCACAAATATTAAACAAATCGCACAATATTGTGAGTCGCTGGGCTTCCCGTTTCATTGTTATGCACCACTTGCAGTTACTTGGCATATTTTTAATGTCAAATTTAGTGCGCTAGACCACAATTCTCTAATCGTAGCAAGCGTTTAAATATCTTTTCAAAGTTTGCAATAGAAAAACTGTAGCAGACATTTCCAGGACAGAAACAGATCAGTCATACAGGGAGGAAAACAGAATCCTCTCGCCTCTCCAATAGGAAAACAACGAGAAAAATACAACCATAACAACAGCATAAACAGCAGACAAGACTAAATTATCGCTTTATTCTTCTATTTAGATTTTGGATTCCTCCAGTACCTTAGCATGTTGTAGTCACCTAATCTTTAATAAATTTTTTAATTGATTTACAGTAGCCTGAACGGTAAGCTTTTTAAAAGGTACCTAGTTTGGATAACCTTAACCGATCTCTAATTCGTAGACAAATAAACGTTTTAGTCGCCCATCGATACACTTTAAAATAATTTTTGATACCTTAGATGCTCAACCTCAATGAATTTAAGCTACATTCTATTTCTATGGGACTTGTGAGACATTCAGCCAGAGGATATACCACAAGGTGTCTACACTAGCAATACCGAATTGGCCGAATTGTAAAAATATCAAATCACAATTCCAGGTTTTATGTGCAAAGAATGTTTTCATTTCTATTTCTGTTGAGACACCTTTCTATTGAGAGACTTTTTGCCCATTCTCAATTCCCTATTCCCGCTTTCAACAACATCCCTCTTTCTACGGATCACTGCCGACAGGCAAAATAGTGTATGATTGGAGAATAGCCTTTACGGGCGTGAAGTGGAAGCAAACGTCGATAACTTGAGAAATTTTAAATTGCTTTTCTTTGTGCAGTGTTTTGGCTTGAGTTCTGATCTTTGAAGAGTTTATTCTCGGCCAACATTCAGTGAGTTTTCCATTCCCAAAAGAATGTCTTGGATTTTTTTGTGTTTTTCTTACTTCTGAGACATAGCTTCTACATGATTGAAAACTTTGGTCACGAGCGCCACTTTGAAGTTGCCAAATTATTTGAAGAATAGCGAAGCATTGACATACAAATGCTAAACACACTGGTTCTACATGTACATATCATGTTCCGATCAAAAACAAAGGTGTTGATTTAAATGCGTCGTCAAATAAACTCCAAATAAATAAGCTGCCATGCTGTTAAATGGTCAAAATAGTAAGGTGAATTAAATATGTGAAAACTGTGATTATTAGGCCTTAAGAAAATACCTATTTTTACTGGGATAGCGCGAATAATTTTCATGCCAGAGATTATAAACTACAGAAACCGGAAAGGGAAAATTCCAAAAATATTTTGCGAATCCGAAAAAATATTCAGAATCGATATCTTTTATACAAATCGCTTGTGAAAAGTTTGTCAAATCGAGGAAACAATTTCAAATCCTGGTTTAATTCATAGATCCACGAATAATTTTGATGGAAATCGAAATAGTTTATAATTCAAGAATCTTTTCAAAACCCAACTAAAGAACATACACAACCATTGGGTAAAGCTCGCTTCAAGCCCAGTGCTCGGTTTATTTTCCGAAATAATATAAGTTTAAAAAAAAAATCCGTGTAACATTTAGCTCCAAAGATCTAAATCACAAGCTAACTGACATGGGATCGTGGAGCAACAGCTGGATGAAAAACCTCAACGTACGTCCAATTGCACCTAGAAGGAAACCTCAGGCTAACTGTACCCCATATACAACGGTCCCCCGGGAAAGACCAACTAAATAGATACCAGTACAAAAGCGGTGCACCCGAGAAAACTAAATGCCTAAAGCCTTAGAAACCGACAAACGTGAAGATAAAGAATCTTGCAAATTCCCCTCCTTAACCACTTCACTAGCCCAGCCGCCACGGCGCTTAAAAAGACGGTCTGGCAGGCCAGCATTTGCGGCAGGTATAATTAGTCCCTCCACTCCAAAGACTATGCGTGCCAATAGCAGAAATATCCGGTTCAATATCTTCAAAAGCCTTTAGCACTAATTTTTTTTAATCGCAAATAGCTTAAACCCTTAGTCTTAGGCTTATAACCACATTCAGTTTTAACAAGCTGGCAAAACACGGGGTTATTACAGGAGAGCCCAGCTCTTTCTTAATAATGGTTCATCATAGCGACCGCACAAGTTGCTTTCCCAGAAGAAGCTACAACGATCTAAGTTCCATCCCTTTACTAATCAGTTCTACTTGATTGAATAAATAACTTAAACATGTCCTTTTCGATTTTAACATCGGATTGAACAAGCTTAGCAAGCTCATCAAATCTGAGAAAGGTAGCAAAAACCAGCGAGCGTATAACAACCGAACGAAAATTATACAAAGAGGCCATTGAGTCCGCCTTGCAGGCAACTAACTGTTCTAACTTAAAGGCTGTGATAGGCTTCTTCTTGGATGTGTGACGGGCCAGCAAAAGCTGCGCACCAGCAAGAACACTCTTCACAAAGGATGTTCAGTAGGAGACGGCTCGCCACCTAACTGGTAAAGCCAGGCAACGCCATGACCTGCTGAATTCAGGAGAGAAGCCGTCTTCGTTTCAGTCAATAAATGACGCAAATACATGACAAAGTGAAACGGAGATGCAGGATAAGCTATCAAGCCATGTTCTCGGCTCTAAAGCTTCCATTTGTTTTAAGAAGAGAAATAATAGAATGAAGCACTAGGTGCTCTACTAACCAATGCAACATCCGGGAGAATGTCCAGACAAACGTAAGAGACCGATGAGAGCACATTTTCTTGCTAATTACCAAGTCAAACGCAGAAAAACACTAATACAGCACAAGCCGCACTAGGTTGCACTAGGTCGACTTGGAGTCACTACGCGAACGGGCTAAATTGTATCAAGTGCACTGCGATGTTGTGCCACAAATGTGGAAAATAATTTACCGTCGATGTGGAAAATGAAAGGGATGAACAGAAAAATATGTTGGACGGTTCGTCAGATGAGAGATCTGCCACTGAACATTGCTTTGAAAGAGGATTTCGTTATAATAATATTTTTCAGTTCTAGAAAAATACCATGGTATTTCTATGAACTCGAGGACTCTAAAGAGAGGGTTGCGTGAGTGTGGGTTGAGAAGGAGAAATGAAGTCCATTCAGAGCACGAAGTTCGAGAGATGATTAAACGTGAAATCGAAGGCCCTTCATCACTTTTTGGATATCGTGCGATGTGGAACAAGCCAAGAACAAGCTACAGTATTGCTGTCCCTCGGGTCATGGTCATGGTTTACAAGAGCTTGATCTACAGGCATCTACTCTTCGAAAGGCCAGGAAGCTGCTGTGTCGATCATACATCTCACTAGGTCCAAACGCAGCTTGGCATGTTAACGGATACGACAAACTGAAACCTTACGGCTTACATCTACGTGGCTGCGGGGATGGATTTTCCAGGAGAATATTGTGGCTCAAAGTATGTAAAAGTAACAATTATCCCGTGATTCAAGCCAGTTTTTCCTCAATGCAGTGGAAGAAAACAGACTGCGACCAATGTTGGGGAAAGAGACTGTGGCCTGGCTGCCTTACAGTGCCTTTTATCCGGTGAAACGGTTGCACATCGTTGCTCATTTTCACATGCCAATCAGCACATCCAAAATTGGTGGTCACATAGTGAAAGGGGCTTCACTGCGTGGGTCATAGATTTTCTAAGGCACTCGTGATTGAAGGAAAGCTTACTTTAGGGACCCACTTGCACATGGAATGGGTCTGGTTTGTGTTTTCCAACACTCTGCAATTTGAACTTGATAAAGTGAAACATGAACGGAACAGCCATTTCACAAGACAGTCCAGGCATTGTAAAGTGCCTGGTATTCCAGATGAACTTTACTACTTGCCCCACACTCATGGATTTGATCATTGTGGATTAACTTTATCAGCAAACGACAAAGAGAATGTGCTTGATCGGAGAGACATTTATAACGAGGCAGAAATTGCTAAGGAGATTGATGATGAGCCCCACTATTTCGCCTTATATAAGATACTCCGTATTGCAGAATCCAGAAAATTTGTACTTGTGGAATCCGGTCTACCGGGCATTGGAATCCAGAATCCAGATTTTGGAGTGCAAAATCCCGCTAAAGAATGAATCAAGTCAAGAAAAAATTTACCCTTTTTCGCATTTGTTCTCATCTGCGATTAATTTTTGGCTATCAAAGGCCTTAGCATGTCAGAAAGAGGTAAGACAGCCTTGTTGGGTTCAGGCATACTTGATATTTCCTCATCTAATATATATGATATTTTAATGGCTGGAGAGGTTTCCATATGCCCCAAAGATGAAAACCTCTGAGCATTTTAAGTGCGTAAATCAGCATGTACTGCAATTTCATCACCAAAGAAGAGGCCATAGCAGGTTGGACACTGTTTTCCTGGTATTGCTGTTGACCATCCGTTCATCTAGTTTTGTGGCAGTATTAGTAGCATTGGATGTAAGTTGCAGATCGGTGATCGATGAACCGGTTTCAGAGGGAGAAACGTGAAAGTCACCTGCATGTGAAGGGTGCGCAATATCAAACCTTGATATTGGTATAGTTTTACATAGGCTACCTCATCTATCCTAACTTTCCTAATCCTTTTACTTCCCGATCCTTACAACCCGTTACTTGAAGTCTTCTTCTCTCATTATGCCTACATTTATCACAACCCTATTGTCTACAGTATTTTTTTGATTCGCTGTTGTGTTTTTTTTCCCCATATTAATCCATCGTGCAGCTTTCCAAAGCCTCTTCGTTCTTCGCCTTCACTTGCAGTCTACAGCGATAATGACATCGTTGGCAAAGCCTTTTCTCCCTCTTCACCTCTTCTTCATGTAATGATGTTAATGTAATTTTTGAGCTACATCTAAAACAAAACCTGTCGCCAGGATTGACCGTATAACCTCACGCCGCGCAGATCCGCTATGTTGGGAAGAGAGTAAATTCGCGGAAATTTTTTTTTTCTGACCAAAGCCTTCCACGGCTGGGCACAAATGTCACGTGACAAAACATTTTTCTCGATTTGCGAAATTTTTGGACTTAGGAAAGATTCTTGGATTGTAGACTATTTTCGACTTTCGTGAAATTTATTTGTGGATCTATGAATTAAAGCAGGATTTAAAATTGCTTTTCCGATTTGACAAACTTTTAAAAGTGATTTGTCTATGAGATATTGATTCTGAATATTTTTTAGGATTTGCACAATATTATTTTTTGGATTGTCCCTTTTCGGCTTCCTTAATTAACTGTTTATAATACTTCGTTTCACGCCATATCAGTTTGAATGAAAACGCTAATTTTCTTTCTGTGATACCTTAAAGTTGCCGTATCTTGTTCTTTAGATGTGATTATTTATTAAAATGATAATTAATCAAAATTCTTTAAAACACATTATTTTGTAGATATCTTGGTAAAAACAAGATTAAGAAGTTGCGTGGTGATTTATTTACTCCATTAGAGAAGCTAAAGTTTCTGTAAGTCAGGAAGGTTACTTTCATATTGATCTACTTTAACTTGACAGGATTTTAACTTTTGCTTTAAATTTTTCCAAGTAAGCTTTTTTTAAAATTTTTTTTATTTTTTTCCATATGTTCATATATATCAAATCCATTTTGAAATCCCTTTTTACCCTTGCATTCTGGTTGGCTCTCATCGGTGCGATTAATTTACGAACCGCACCATTTTTTACTCTAAATCGCATCTTTTCCCAGCTCATGGGAAATTTTATAAAAAATAACTACCAATTCTATTTCAAGGCTTGATTCAAGAAACCAATAAAAATAGAAGAAAATTAAAGACAACTTTTGCAACTAAAAGCAAACACACCCAAAAAAGGGAAAATAACTGACTAAAAGTCTGGCTTCCAAAAACAGATATGAAAGTATGAACCGGAGCTCCATAGTAACGGCCTTCTCGAGGAGTTTGACGCAACATTTCGTAAGAAAGGCAGTAGGAGATTACGAGAATAACTTTCGTGTAATGATTACTGCTGTCGACGAATACCTAACAGGGAAAAAATACAAACGCTAAGTTATTCTTGAGAGAGGTTTTAAAAGTTTAAATCAAGTTCATGGGGCAAAAGCTCAACAACTCTGGCAACAAGAAAATGAAAGACAACTTTTGCACCTTTTTATAAACCAGCTCATTACTGGATCAATAGGATATTTTTTCAGAGTCAGAGTTGAAAAGCCTGTATTTGAGCGACTGAATTCTGTGATTCCAAAAAAGCTGTAATTAAGTGGCAATTGAAATTCGTTTCGTGCAGTTTTGGTTGAGATCGATGGCAGAAAGTTGGGATTGAATTGATTGACAGGTAAGTCGCGGTAGCACAAGAAAAAAAAGTGGTAGAGGGAGTGAAAGAATGAAAACACGCAACGAAGCAAAAAAAAAAAAAATGGCTGGAACGAAAGTATTGAAGAGTACAAACCGAGGCCCTGAAAATAAAAATCGCGACGGTATAAGAAGTAGGCGGAAGATTACGAGTGTGATAGCCTTCGTGTACTGGTTACTGCAATTAAGCGATACCTAACCGAGAAAGTAAACAAACGTTTGATGTGTCACAAGTTTAGAAGTTCGAAGCAACTTCCTGGAGAAACACCCCGAACAAGCCGGCAGCAACGTGAAGGCAAGCGGCCGAGCAGCTGCTTAGTCTCTAAGGCACTCTTTGCCCTTAAGGACCATTACTCCTTCAAGACGTTTGAACAAATTTAAACGGAACCTGGAAACCCATTTATTTAGGACAGCTTTTTGCCAACTTCAATGGTTCCCATTTTTTTTTTATATTACCGAGAGTTTTTGTTTTTAAGTTTTTAACTGTAGAGATGTATAAAATGTTTCTTATGTACAAAGTAGGTTAAATATTTCTCTCTTTCATATTTTAAAACGCTTAGAGGCGTTCAATAACTGCTACATGAATTGTATATATTATTAATCACCAAGCCATAACACGAAATAAACACGACTTTGAGGAAACAGAGTCAAATTTTGCATGTATATTAGTAGCAAGTAAATTAATGATTTTTCGTATAATTTATAAATTCTCGTAAATTTTTGTAAGACATTAAATGGCATTCACCCTATAGGCTAGTGCAATTTGGCTAGCCTTTGAAACATTTACTCGTGTTGATTTATCCCAAATTGCACTCGAAATCATGTGATAAGCTAATCCACTTATTTAGATCACTATTTTATATAAACATGTAAAGATTATGACAAGGAAACGGCACATAGAAAATGTAAATCCAAGAGAGGAATATATCAAATTGCTTAACAGCAACAGATCACCAGACAAAAGACTTTAAATTCAAATCCAGAAAAAATCTTCTTATAGGGACTTGGGTAACAACCAGATAGAGGAGCTACCGCCAGGAGTCTTCAATAAAAACACCGAGTTGACTAAGCTGTAAGTAACACATTCATAGGTCCATATTCGATACCATCGATTCTTATCTATTGTAATTGACAGTATCTAACACTACGCGTTTTGATACATTCATAAGCAGCTAGCTTTTTAATTAGCTGCGTCAATCAGAGAATAGTAACCTGCAACAGTATATTGAGAGAGAAACCTTTCCCTGCTAGGGTTATGCGTCAAACCTTAAGATGAGACAAAAAAATTAAATTAAACAAAAAAATATTTAACTCGTAAGACAGTGCTCGAGCTTATAGAGGGCGAAGTCAACCATGAGAAGGGATTGTTTGTGGATGGACAGAGTTAACAAAAGTAAATATACTCATTAAAGAATCCTTTCAGTTTCATTGTCGGTGCTCCTCGTTATGTAAATCCCATTTGTAACCCCCCCCCCCCCTTCCTCTGATAAACGTGTTTTATTTTAATGCGCGTAGCTAGTATGCAACCTTTTGCAAATGTAGGGAAGAGTTCTTGGTTCTCGTAAGCTGGTTCCTTCTTAGACCAGTGCCTCAGTCAAAGAGAACGGGATTTAAATACCTCCCCATTTAATGGTAAGACAAAGTTTTCAACACGCATAGGTTTTTAGAAGGTAACAAGATCAAGAAGTTCCCTGACGATTTGTTTTCCCAATCAGTCAAGCTGCAGTGGCTGTAAGTGAAAGTGGTCCTCTATATCAACTATTGACAAGTGGCACAACACACATTTTAATGCAAATAATGCATATTCCATTTTCATCAAGCAGATCCTTGAACCCTAAATATCTGCGTAGCATATAAACCGATTGCAAACGCCCACAATCAGTGACTGATTGAAAAGATGAATGACTAAATCTTAGGAGAGACAAGAAGCCATCAGGTGCTCCAAAGGCCAAGCCAAATGTATTATGCAGTAAAATTTAAACAAGGGTGGTATTCGAATGAACTGAACTAGAACTACTTTCGAGTTCACTGAGTACTTGTTAATTCCTAAATTATAAGCTTTAGACAGGCAATCGGTTCAAATAATTTTATTTCAACTGATTCAAATTAGAGTAATTGTAGCACTTTTTTTAACTCTTCTGCTCATACAGACAACTCAACAACAACAACCTGGAAAAGATACAGAAGGGTTTGTTTGACGGTTTAACAGCATTGACGCGCCTGTGAGTTTAGGAAAGGAAACTTTCAATACAAAAAAAAATAGTAGCTAAAATTATTTTTTAAAACAAGCGGAACCTCTGCAATGAAGGTGGAGAATTATGTGTTTTTGAGTAAGGAGGGAAAGCATGAAAACGTATCGCTAAAGATGGCCATACGCTACGGTGAAGGCTTCTTTCATAATGGCGGGCGTGATTCTGACTCATTTGAATTATGCAAATAAGCCATCCTGGCTCCACTTTTGATCAAAACTTCTATTGATAGTGAACTTGTGGCGAAGGTCAGAAAGGCTCATTTGCATTTATATGCATTGTTATTGGATGAATGAGCGAGTTAATGCGCAAGGTGGTTGTTCCAAACACTAAATCAATTAATAACAGCAGTGTTGCACAAACGAAACACCATAGGAAAACGAGGTTGCCAGCTTCAAAATTATCGAAAGCTATCAAAAATCAACTTAAAAAAAGGTCAAGATGTTGATCAGTATTATGTAATACTAATATAAGTATTGGAAACACACCCAAATTAGACGATGCAATTACAAATTTAACTAAATAAAAAGGATTGTCGCATCATTCCAACTTTTATTCAGATGGCTGCAAGACAACAGAATTGAAACGCCGCACAAACAAGTTTTCAAAGATTTGACTGAACTGAACGACCTGTGAGTTTAGTCAATACAATACAATGTGTTTATAAAAGTGTTGGCTCTTTATCAATTTTCTGTTCCTTATATCAGAGATTATAAAAGAGGCCATAAGTGACCATGTCACAATCAATTGCAACATGGCAATCCTAAGACGATTGTACATCATAAAAGGCAGGTTTACCGAAAGCTTATAGCGTCGAAATTCACTGGTCTCGGGTTCTGACCAGTGGGCGTTCCTCATTAGTATTGGGTTGCACTACTCTACATCATTTCCCTCCCATCAGTTGGTGTTACTTGAGTAAAGAGCATGAAAACTATCCACAGTAGCTTGGTGCACTTTCATCATAATTATAATGTTACAGCAACATAGCATGCTACAAGTGCCCGTGAAACGCAGCGAAAGAATTCAGAGTGTTTTCCCACTGTTTCACTTTTTGTGGGATTTACATTTCGGATGGCGTTATTTTTTTTTGAAAGACTAATGCATTTTACCTTGAAACTTTCAGGGATCTGTCTAATAATGAAGTCGAGGATCTCCCTCAAGAAATCTTCAGCAATCTGGCAAATCTCAAAATACTGTAAGTCAACAAGAAAAACAAATAAAAGAAAATTAAAAGCACGACGAGAAAAGAAATTTTCTCTCTAAAATTTGTCGAGCGGCAAAACTTTCCGCGTTTCTGTCTGAATTTCAACGCACATACACAAAAATAGAGGTTTTGAACTTAAAATCGAGTTTTCATTAAATGTTATCACTCCAAATGTCCTTCGAATTGATCTAATTAAAACTGTTCATTAAAACGTGTCTCACTGAATGAATGCAAAACACGCATATTTATATTACACAGATATGTAAGCATATCGTTATTTGGATCTTATCGGTTGCCATCATTATCTACGGGAAACCAGTTCTGCTTTGCAGTTAAAGGTAGTGTGTGTTTAACTGTTGCAGGCTTTTATCAAACAACCAACTAAGAGATTTACCGCCAACGGTATTTGCTAACCTAACCAAGCTAAAGACAATGTGAGTAGTGAAAAATGGTTTGAATGACTGAATAATTGTAAAGGAGGATTATCCTCTCTTGTTAATTAATAGTCGATTGATCGATTGATGGAATGATGAATTTTTGGGATAAAAAAAAAAGAAAAGAAAACGAAAACATTTGCAGCACATCTCAAAAGATACCCAATGTAAAGTACGAAGATGTAGTTGTTTAGGGGGACTTTCTAAGAATTGCTTTTGAATTCGATAATTCTGGAGCTATTGAGGTCAAAGACAGATTTATTCAGTTGATTTAATAAATTGCCAAAATAAATCGAAGATTGCTCTCGTTTTACTTTATTCCCTCTCTGATCAATCTAAAAACCTGTGCCACCCTATCAACCAATCGGGCACCAAACCAAAATCCAAACGTCACTTGATAACTCGCATTTTCCGGCGCGTGAGGCTTTGTGCTTGAATTGTTTGTACTTTTAATGTACACTGGTTCCTTAGCCTCCCTTTGCTTTGATTGGTTATTGTGATTACTCCGGCTCTTGCTTTTGGACACTCACTCAAAAGGTACTCTAAGTACCGACCACTGATATAACATTCAACGTTTAAATTAAAAGAAAACTGGCCAAGAACATATCCGTGATTTGCAATTCAACAGAAAAATTGAAAAGAATGAGATAAAGGAGCTGCATCCTCAACAGTTTCGGGGACTGGTAAAGCTGTTTGACCTGTGAGTAGTTCGTTAACATTTATGTATTCCACAAGTTTTGAATCTAGGCATCTATCAAAAGTAAAAATATATTATCGTGCAGGTAACATATTTTGGCCTGACTGCTGAATTTGTTCATTACTGCAAGCGGAATAATGTCTACTCCGATCCACCTTTTCATGTTTTTAAGACATCCTTTCATTTCCTGGAATTTCTGATTTTAAGTCATGATGAGGGTCTATGTAGGACCTTTTTCTTGATGCTAACGATACATCACGCGAGTGGCTTTTCAGTACCAAGTTTATTTTGTTATACATCCTTGGAAATTTTGCAATTCATGCCTGACGATACGCCTTCAAAGAAATCTCCTGATTCCCAGCCCATCAATTATCTTTCTCCAAAAATTTCTCGTAATAATATTGCAAAACGTTAGTGAGCATTCTCATGATCCCTTTGATTCCTATGAAAACGATTACAAATGCCCCGTTCTTTAATCCATTATGTCCAACATTCATTTCATTTGTTTCCTTTCTTCACTAGCTATCTATCGGGGAACAAACTCAGATACTTCCCACAAGGAATTTTTAAAGGCTTAAAAGAGCTTTTGATTATGTAAGTAGACTATGAAATTCTTCAAGTGAGTAATAAGCTTTGAAATAACCTATAACGATCATGACATTTGAATGCATTTAATTTCACCTTTAAATGATTATTTACACATCAATGTCGAAATATTTTACCTTCCCTGTTACTCTATATGATTAAGTTTCACTTTCTTTTTGTTAGAGAAATTGTTGAAAACGAAATGACTCATGTCTCCATCGACAACTTCAAAGAAATTAAACAGTTAAAAATTCTGTGAGTGTTATAATTAATCAAGTGATGACCAAGTTGTGAAACGGACCTTGCTACCTTAAGGTGTAATATTTGACAATTGAAACATTATGAAAACACTTCAAATCGATGCTTTTATTGTAAAAGCATCTTACGTTATCTGCAACTCACCGGAAATGCTTTCCTGACAGCAGATTGATTATTTGCTGAGTGGGAGTAAGTTTGTAAAGAAACTTTAGTGCTGCGTCGGCGCAGGGCATTTCAAGATATTTGGTGTCATTCTACATCGAAACTCTGATTGGTTGAGAGCGTACAGTCAATATACAAAAGCGTGTGAAGTTGACATGATAACCGATATATCCATCAGGTATTGGGTTATCATGTGGAGTTCAAAGTCTGACTAGTTTCCAAGCCCCTCGTCAGTGTAACGTCCTGAAACTTTTGCAAAGTCAGAGAGAAATGTCTTCTTTCCCAGAGTTTTTTAAAAATGTACATTAAAACAGATAATGATTTCGCTTTTCCCATGATATCATGGGCTGCAAAACCCTGTGTCTGCTTTAAATGCCTCAGCCTCCGGCTTCGGCAGATAACTCAGACTTCAGCATTATGATAATATCATGACCAATCTTATCCAATATTTAATTATTATCAAGTGAGTTGGTGATGTAAATTGGCCACCCTGAATAGCCTCAAAAGCGGACGCCTGAGCATTAGCCCTTCGTACAAGAATAGAGGAATTGTAAGTTGTAGGTGGTTTAGAAACAGGAAAAGACGCTTCGCGATTAGAGGGAACCTGATCACGAAATAAACACGAATAAATTAGTTAAATGAAAGACTTCGTTGACATTGTGGGATTAAGAGAGCCTATTTGAAAGATTAATTTTTGTTGTGGAGTTTTGCGGCTTTTGATCACTGCATTTTAATCTCCTAATTTAATTTCCAGGTATATGCAGTATAACAAGATGAGGGAGATTCCATATGGTTTTTTCGATATGTTGAAGGATATACAACGAGTGTAAGATTTTGATAAAATTCATTCGCAAATTATTAGTTTTTGAGCAAAGCTACACATTTTGAGTAGACAACATTTTGGGGAAATTCAAGTTTTTTGCAAAAAGAATTGAAGACTTGGATTCTTAAAAAAAATATTTTGTATAAGTCAATGGATAACTCCAGCCATCAGTTACTGATATATGCTTAAAAGCAAGTTCTGTGAAGTTTTAATGAAATAACTTCAGTGGATGATATTTTACAATTGTAGGAGTCTCGACACAAATCTGATGTGTTGTCATATGCACAAGGAGGACGCTGACTGTG